CAAGTGGCCATGTTATTTATATGCTTCAGAAAGTCATTCCACAAATGTTTATGGAGTGTTTTTTTTTTCCTAGGCTGGGTGTGAGGAATATAGCCTTTGCCCCACAGGTTCTGGCAGGACTCTCTAATTTTTTATAACTTCTATTGGATTTCTATGAGGATTGAACTTCCATACCAAACTGGGAGCAGAGTCTCAATCCCCTGTCCTTGATAAACCTTTCACTTCAGGTTATCTGTCCTGAATTTCTACTTTATCACAGTGGTAAATATTCTTTTAAAGGTTTAGTTGCCCTTTAAAATATTTAGCTGATTTCCTTTTTTTTTTTTTTTTAAGATGACCAGTATGGGCTGGCCCGGTGGTGCACTCGGTAGAGTGCGGCGCTCCCGCCGAGGGTTCGGATCCCATATAGAGACCTGTCCGCTCACTGGTTGAGCGCGGTGCGGGCGCGACACCGAGGGTTGCGATCCTGTTGCCGGTCACGAAAAAAGACAAAAAGGAAAAAAAAAAAAGATGACCAGTAAGGGGACCTCAGTCCTTGGCTTGGTGTTGTCAGCACCATGCTCAGCCAGTGAGCTAACCAGCCATCCCTATATAGGATACAAACCCACGGCCTTGGTGTTATCAGCACCACACTCTCCCAAGTGAGCCATGGGCCGGCCCTAAAGTATTAGCTGATTTCAACATGAATTTGCAGTTCCTCCCTCAGTGTTACCAACTTTGCGCCTGATATGTATGGTTTTTTTGTTTTAAAATATTTCTAGTTACTATTTTGTTTTGAACGATTTCTATTCTATTCTGTTTTAAAACTCACTCCTCCCTCGTCATCAGCTTTGCACCCAAACTAGAAACAAGGCCGTTGGCATTCTTGAAAGTACTTGGTGGCCTTCCTCCTTTATCTTGCTTTCCTAAGTTGAGCAGTGCCTATACCATTTATTTACCACAGAGTTGGAGCCTTTAAGAGACCCTTGGTTTGTAGGCTTAAGTATTCCACTCTCCCAGTAGCTCTTTTAGTCTTTCCACTTTAAATTCTATGCCCCTAGTCCATTTCACTTGTATCTGAAGTGCTGTGGAGTCAGTCAGCCCTAACTGCTTGTGAGGCAATTCTCGTGCTATTTTGTATACCTGGATCTGTGTATATTCACTCCCTCCACCGTGCCGTGCCCTGCCCCCATAAAGGATGAATTTTTTCCCTAATCCTTACAGCAAAACACTCCTTCTTATGGTATTTTAGACTCCTGATGTATCCTTATGGTCCCCAGTATTCATACGTAATCTCACCAAATAAAGAGATTACAAGCCAAATACTATTTTACTCTTTCCTTGGTTCCTAGTGAACCTAGTTAGTGTGACAGTTCTTTTCAGGGCTCCCTGGGTTTCCTTTATTCCTGCTGTTTTGTTTGTGTGCACATGTAGTGTACATTGTCATCTTCTGGCTTTAGAATTTTTCTTGGCCACCTTCTCACCTCAGGCCCCCTGGATGATTAGAGGTTACCATGGGCTCAGTCTGGGCTCCTTAGCAGAGAGAGGACCATCATTGATTGAGGAATACATGTCCCATGCAGTGGATTGAAATTGTTTTAAAATCGACTCTGAGAAATATGCCCTTATGTGTCTAACAAAAATACCATAGACTGGGTGGGTGGATTAAACAACAAACATTTATTTCTCACAGTTCTGGAGACTGGCAGTCTGAGATCAGGATGCCAGCACAGTCAGATTGTTGGTGAAAGCCCTTGTCCTAGTTTGTAGACAGCCATCTTCTTGTATCCTCATGTGGCACAGAGCAGAGAGAGGAAGCAAGCTGTCTCATGTCTCTTCTTATAAGGCACTAATCCCAACATGAGGGCTCTACCCTCATGACCTAATTACCTCCCAATATAATACCATCATATTGGAGGTTACTATTTTAATATATGAATTTTGAGGGGGGGCACAAACATTCAGTTCATAACACCATGGAAATCAAAGGTGAAACTCGGGTTTAAGGCAGATGCTTTGTAATGAAGCATAAAAAAATTTCAGTCCCATGAAGAATAATCCCAGTAAGTAGATAGAACATGTCCTCATGAGGGTTGAATGTATTTTGTGATTTTGTTACTTCTTGGACAATTATTTGTTTTAGATGCTCAGTGTTTTCGATTAAGAGAACTTTATTTTCAGAATGTTATCGACAAAGATTCCTTTAGGAACTGTTGTGATTATCAGCCTGTGTGCTTCTTGAGGGCCTAGAGTTCATTATTATTATTATTTTTATTGTTATTATTTTGTATTATTATTATTTTTTCCCCATTATTACATGGGACCACACATGGTGCCCGGCACATAATGGTGAAAAACATGCTCCCATCTCAGAATAAAATCCAGAGCTGTTACTGAACTCTGTAAAGCTTTGTAAGATCTGACTTCCCTGCTGCCTCTCGTACTTTCCTTCTTATTTCACATGGTGTGCACTGACCATCCTGCTCCACCTTAGGGCTTTTGCTGTTTCTTCTGCCTGAGATGCTCTTCACCCAGATAGCTGCATGGTAGGCTCTCTTGCTGCTTCTAAATTTTGCTCACACAGCACCTCTTCAAAGACACCTTTTCTGACCACCTTTTAAAATGCAGGTCTAGTTCCTTGCTTGGTTTGATTCTTCTTCATAGCACTTATCTTGACCTGATCTATTATATAACTTTATTATTGTCTCTTTTTCTCCACTGTAATATAATCTTCAAAAAGGCAGTGGCTTCAGCTCTTTGGGACACTGCTGTGTTTCCAGGACCTAGAATAGTGCCTGTTACATAATAGGTGCTCAGTAAATATTTGCTGATTGAATATTTGGATTAATGAATGACTGCATGCCTACTTGTATAGCGGCTGTATAGCAGCAATGTGGTCCAGTTCAAGAGCAGCTAGGTGTGCAGGCCTGTCTAAGTTTTTAACCCACAGCAACTCATATTAAAATCTTTTATACTCTTCTGTTTTCTAGTTTCCTCAAATCCTGGGTGCCATTAATTCCTCTGACCCAAATAGGACACTCTCTTTTGTGCCACCCCTCCCCTACCATCTTGTACTCTTGGTCCCCTTATTTCTCCATGAAGTATTTAGCCCTATGCTACTGTTCCTAGCATATCTCATGACCTGGGGAGGGAAGTAATTGTCTTCTAAACCTTCAGGACTCTTTTTTTTTTTTTTCCTTCCCTTTTTGTCTTTTTTACTGACCGGTAATGGGATCGCAACCCTCGGTGTTGCGCCCGCACCGTGCTCAGCCAGTGAGTGGGAACTGGTCTCCACATGGGATCCGAACCCTCGGTGGGAGCGCCGCTGCGCTCCCAAG